AATGTTATAGTTCAGTGGTAATTGTGTAGGATATCGTATGGTCGGCCCCGTCCAACTATACTGCTCCGCTCAATGGTTTAAAATATGTTTACAAGAATAGATTCTACTTACTCCAATAAATCCAAATGATCATGAATACACTCCAGTAGTTCCTTATTATTTGCAATCACCGTTTTCTCAGAGTCATATCCAATATTGGCTACACGAATTCCCAGCAAATGAACCTGACCACCCAAGAGCGATAAGTGAGCACCGGCAAATGTATCATTGACCAAATTCTGAAGAATCGTATACGTTAAACCAACAAATTGATAGATATGAGCAATAGCATAATTCGTCGACGTTGCAAAAGGATCAAATGGAAAATAAGCATGATACATCAGTAACCAGTTGCCACGCAAACCATTAACTAGTAGCGAAACTTCTGCCGACAATCCCACCATTGTGCATATTATGTAGAAAAAATAAATTAGATTCTTAATCGGAGGATACACTTTTTTCAGCATATATTCCGTTTGTTGGCCAGGTCGGGTGTGCTCGTCTTGTCGTTTTACGATATCAAACATTCTATCGATATCTTTAAATTTCCTCCAAATAGCAAAAGTTTTCATCGAACATACCGCACACGTTAGGGTAATGGCCAAATTCTGTATCACTTCATATAATGTGGTACTGGTGAATAGACCCAATAGCAAATGCAAAGGAAAACCAATGGTCACCATGAGATTGACGATTAAAGAGTATAGCCAATAGAGAGGTCGATACTTCTGCGGAGGCATCAAACCCAGTATACGCCAGCATATAAAATGGGTCCTAAATAGGGATTTTGTATTTAATCCGTTGTCCGTTCTCATTACTGTTGAGTGTTCTGTTAAAATATCGATAACTGAATAATGTGTCCATTGTGATGGCTTTGTTTTTATATGCATTTAAAATAAAATTTTTCAATACCCATTTTTTTCATATTTCACATTTATTTATTGCCAGACTACATCGCATTATTTAGTAATGATTAAACAATTATAACCCTTTTTTCGTAATAATAAATCTGATTAATTAATTAGAGAAGGTCATTAAGTGTAAAGGTGACACATTAAAATCGATGACCCATTGCGAGAAAATAAAAGTTTCCGGCCACATTTTTAATCATAGTAGCTGTGATTTGGAATTCTCTGTTATTTGTGCTTAAAAATACGTTAACACAGAAAATTTCCAGTTTTGACCCAGGCCTATAGCTGGCCCATAGCCTAGTCTTCATTTAAAGTTCTATTTTAAATATTTCCATGGAAGTAACGATCTAAATTTTGTAAAATGTAAATGGGTCACCTCCTTTATGTACTCCCCCACAAGGAATTAAAATACAATTCTATGCCCCAAAAAATATTTATTTCAAATAATTTATTTCACAAACAAAATCCTTCCATATTTCAACGCGTATTCATTATAAGTGAAAAGATCGAATACGAACCCTTAACAGCGGTTAAAAAGGAAACATTATTAATGCGAAACCACCAGGCAGTAACATAAATTCGACGCGATGCTTGTTCAACGAAAATTCGAAGATTTTTCCGAAATGTTAAATCCTGATCGGGCCAATTGCAGCAGAACAAGGAATACGACAAATCTTGAAATTCATCTTCCAAAATTGTTCCGAAATAACAGCTGGGCAGTACTTCAGATATCATGCCAATAAAACAGCACACATAATAGATCATAGTAAATGGATCCTGGACAAAGAGTAACAGAAATACCACATCCACACACATATTTATGCTCGAAAAGAGTATCTGAAAGAACATGTACATGGAAATCACATCCTCGACTTTGCGACGATATCTGTTGGAAAAATAGAGACGGAAATATATTAACAGTAATAGAATACGTTTTAATCTATATATATGTTCTAAATTTGTTTAATCAAGCGTGGCATTTTATACCCTTCACTGGGGTACAGGGTATTAGGTCTTTGTACATATGCTTGTAACAGGCGAAAGGAAACGACATAGACACAGGGTCCAAATGAAATTGAATTTATCATAGGTTGCAGAAAGGTTGTGTATGGATTGTCGGTTCTCTTATAGATAAGGATAACATATTTAAATTATTTCAATTGTTAGGATACATTTATAGAATATACCTAAAGTGGTGAAGAGTATCTTATAATAGGCCAGGGCTGACTTTACTACATTCCTTACTGATTTATTATTTATTTTTACAAAAATTATAACTAACATTGTTTATATTTTAACCCTTTTTTCCGCAATCTTAGAACAAATTCCTGTTCTCAGATTTAATGCAATTATCCTAAATCGGCTGAAAAGTCTTCTTAAATTATTCTCTATATTCATTTTTACAAGAATCAAAAATAATTCTGATGGCAGAACTCGTACAATTTAAATACTGTACTGTACACAAATTTACCAACCAACATTTTGATTTTTTTTTTTTTGATTTTTCTTTTGCTATGTGTCGTCCATAATCAGGTCTTGGTATATGAAATCCAAATAAAATGTATCTACTAGCTGCATATTAAATATAAGCTCTAAAACATGTTGTTGCCTGTAGGCAATATTGGGCCACAAAGGGTTAAAAATGATTATAATTAACATATCTACTCACTCCAATAAATCCAAATGATCATGAATACACTCCAAAAGCTCTTTATTATTTTCAGCCATCGATTTCGTAGGGTTATGTCCTATATTGGATAAACGCATTCCCAGCAAATGGACCTGACCACCCAAAAGTGCTAGGTGGCCACCGCCAAATGTATCATTGACCAAATTCTGAGTAACCGTAAAAGATAATCCAATAACTTGATAGATATGAGCAATGACATAATTCATCGACGATGCATAAGGATCAAATGGAAAATACGATTGATACATGAGTAACCAGTTGCCACGTAAACCATTGGAAATAACCGAAATTTCTCCCGTTATGACTACCATACTGCACAGAATGTAAAACAACAAGAATAGATTCTTTATCGGAGGATATACTTTCTGCTTTAGATATTCCGTTTGCTCGCCCGGTCGGGTGTGTTCGTCTTGACGCTGTACAATCTCAAACATTCCATCGATATCTTTAAATTTCCACCAAATGGCGAATGTTTTCATCGAACATACCGCACACGTTAGGCTGATGGCCAAATTCTGGATAACTTCATACAGAGAGGTACTGGTGAATAGGCCCAATAGCAAATGCAAAGGATAACCAATGGTCACCATAAGATTGACGATTAACGAATACAACCAATAGAGAGGCCGATACCTTTGCGGCGGCATCAAACCCAATATACGCCAGCATATAAAATGTGTCCTGAAGAGTGATTTTGTATTTAATCCGTTGTCCGTCGTCATTGGACATACATTAGCAGCTCTTAAACGATGGTTTAAAATGTCGACAAACGACTATTGTATCCATTGCAGATTTCTTGTTTTTATAAACATTCGAAATTATTTCATTTAATACACGTTTTGTTAACATTTTTTACTACCAGACGCCATCGCATTATTTAGTAGTCCTTAAGTAATTATAATCCTTTTTTTCATAACAAAATAATTAATTAGAGATGGCAATAACTTATAAAGGTGTCATATTTTAATCTTACACGTGTTGTTCGAAACACACGTTTTAAGGAATGCATGCGCTTGTCAGAGAAATTTATAGAAGCAATATTAAATTGTTGGGAATAAGGGTTATAGTAGGTCTTGTGAATTTGCAGGCAATTTTTTGGGATTTAATTTTCAGTACTATAGTTTAAATCTTCAATTTTCCAGAACCTCCAAAATCTACTAGTGTTGTAATTTCGGTTTCATGAAGGGCAAATAACATGACAACATTTAGAAAGAACGCCCATTCAAAGATCCTGCTTTTGTATTGCCAATTATATATTTCTGTCCGCTTTTCGGTATAGCCACCCACCTTCCTTAAAACGTGTGTTTCTAACAACACGTGTAAGATTAATAGATGACACCTTTATAAGTTAGTGCCTTCTCTAATGAATTAATTATTATTTTATTATTTTGAAAATAAAAGGATTATAATTACTTAAGGATTACTAAATAATGCGATGGCGTCTGCAAGTAAAAAAAACGTGTATTAAGGGAACCCCACCCATTCTCGATTTTAATTTTTCAAGATTTTCAATGGGCTGGTAAATCAATACCAATGCTTGTTAAGGTTTGTAACTTTGCACATATATAATTGAAGATTTAAACGAGAAGAAAAATAATTTACAAACAATTTTTGTTATTGTTTTGTTGTTGTTTTTTGTAATTAAAGAATAGTCCTTATTTTTGATGGCGGGCATGATAACTCCTCACTGGAACATCGGAATCCGAAAATTCCAACGGTGTTAGAAAGAGTACATGTCTGGCTCTCGTATGAACTAGGATTATTGACTTCGCTCTTAAATTTACAAAATGGTGGACCTTTGAAAAAATATTTTTGGAAAATCGCCGATTTTTTACCAAAAACCATGTTAAAAAATAAGGAAGATCTTCGCCGATTGGCTTTATCCTAGTTCATACGATAGCTATATACTCACAGAGAAACGTGTAAAAATTTGAAATCGATTGGGTTATTAGTTTTTGAGTTATCGTGCCCGCCATTCACAAAAAAATTTTGAGAGAAAAACGTGTTTTAAGTTTGAGAAGCCCTTCAGCCGTCACTTGATGCTGACACAATAAATCGACTATATCTTCAAGAGTTCTTGATATTTTTACTTGAAATTTTGCAGGGACATTCTAGAATTAGTGTAGATTAGAATTAAGTCAACAAAAATTTTGACCCCGTGAATGGGGGGGTCCCCTTAAATTAAATAGTTTCGAATGCATATAAAAACAAGACAACTGCAATGGACAACAAGCTATTTCAATTATTTTGAAGCGTTTATCCGCAGTTTCCAACACAATGAGGTTTAAGTTGACATTCGGGTTCTTGGAGGGCATAAAAACTTCTTCTATTTAAATTGACAGTATTGGTCCTAATTTTGACATAGCCTCATATAAAGATACATCCTGGACATATTCTCATACCCAGGTGGTGGTAATTTGTCATTCAAAGACCTTGGATGGAAATAAACTTATATCCACAAAATTTTTTGTGCCCAATTTTTACCCTTCACCACACTGTGGTACAGGGTATTATGTCTTTGTGCATATGTTTGTAGCAGGCAAAAGGAAACGAGATAGACACATGGTTCCTTTTGAGAATATGCACAGAATCCGTCTGCCCGGATGATGAAATTTGGCACAGCTCATTTATTTGGCCCAAGGACTAACCCTATTGAAATTGGAAAATATCGGTCCAGATTTAGATATTGCTCCCATATATATTTTCCTCCGATTTTTGGTAAATAGAGCACGAAATTTGGCATAGAGTAATGAAATAGGTATAGAATGATGTGTGTTAAGTTTCCTGAAAATCGGTTCAGATTTAGATATAGTTCCCATATATATATATTTCGTCCGACTTAATTTTAATTTTGCACGAAATTTGACATAGCGTACTGAATTGATAATAGTGTGTGTAAAGTTTCCTAGACTTTGTCGGATTTCAAGACTCAAATTTAGGCCGATTGCCATACAATTGTGCACAACTTACTAAAGTTTGTGTAACATAACATGTGACAAGTTTTGCTGAAATCAGTTCCGATTTAGATATTGCTCCCATATATATTTTCTTCCGATTTTAAAAAGATGGTGCACCATAGACTCAGAGTTAGGCCGATTGACACAAAATTTGGTACAACGTCCAGATTTATATATAGCTCCCATATAGTTTCGTCTGATTTTAAGTGGGACCCAAGGACCGAAAATAGTCCATTAGAAACAAAACGTTCATATACCTAACCGGTGACAAGTTTCGTTGAAATCGGTTCATATTTGGATATAGCTTCCATATCTATTTTCATCCGATTTAAGTAAATGGTGCACCAAACTCTTCATATTTTTTTTTCAGAATAGAATGACGTAACTACGTGTAAGGGTGCAGATGTAGGCCATATATATTTTCGTCCGACGTCGTGTTAATAGAGCTCCAAATATTCAACGGGTGCCCGATTGATATTTGCTTTAAACCATTCAGTGTCAAAAACAAAAAAAAAAAAATTGTCGGAATAAAAATCTAAAATTTTCCTAGAATTTGTCACAAGAGACATTTGGGTTTGAAAGGTTTTTTGTAAAGAAGCTATTAATAGCTTCTGGGGAGAATATCCCAACAAAAAACTAAGGGAACTGATGAGGATCAGTGGCGAGATCCGAAACTATAGTCTTCTCTGCCTTACCCCTCGGCGGACAATGCCATACATTCCCCACTAATAAATAGTTGATTTTTTATAAAAACAACAAACTGGGATTAAGCCTGACTATTTTGCAAAAACAAAATACAAATGGTATCCCAAATAACCCGCCAAACACTACTGAAGATGTAGACGAGGCACGGTCATACTGTTTGGTTTATTGCTTTAACTAGCAATACCAACAACAACGTTATGTGCATTCGTCACAAAGTGACGACACATAGCAGTGGGAAATGTATTGTAGTTGTCTGTAAATGCCTTGTTGACCACGAAGTCAGGCGCCAACGAAACGAACTTCTCATTGGGGTCGTATCGCTGGTAACGTAAGAACTTCGAATTGTCACAAGAGACATTTGGGTTTGAAAGGTTTTTTGTAAAGAAGCTATTAATAGCTTCTGGGGAGAATATCCCAACAAAAAACTAAGGGAACTGATGAGGATCAGTGGCGAGATCCGAAACTATAGTCTTCCCTGCCTTACCCCTCGGCGGACAATGCCATACATTCCCCACTAATAAATAGTTGTTTTTTTTTTTATAAAAACAACAAACTGGGATTAATTTTTTTATTTAAAATCATATAAAGGGACATAGTTTAGAAAAAATAGCAAGTGTTATTTTAACCCTCGGCCAGTTTCGTCTGTCTTTCAGCAAAAACAAAAACATCAATAGTAACGGTACATAGGATAACCGAAAAATCGCAAAGAAAGAGAGCACTTTTAAATGTTTAGATAAAGGTCACATATTTTAGTTCATCCAATTTCATGTTAATGACCCATCTGTTCGGATGCATATTTTTAATATACCCATAGTGGTGAAGGGTATCATCCGACTTTACTATTTTCCTTACTGGCTTTGGTATGCTTAAAATCGTAGTATAATTTGGTAATCTGACTGATTACGACAGGCAATCAATCTATATATCATATAAATGCGAATACGGTTTGGTAAATATGTACTTATTTCCTTATTTACTTTTTTATTTTGGCACACATAAAATTTGCGAAGGCAATAGCTTAGTATAATTTCTTTTGTTTTATAAATAACTTCAAAAATGCCGAATCAAAGGTTAATTCGCAATACACGAAACTGAAATATTAATGAGTGGTCATGGAATGAAGCGAATGTATGGCAGCTATAAATGTTCTTTGAACTTTTCATAACTTGCTTAACCAGTTTCTAAAAATAGCAAAAGGACATTTGCCTATTGTTGTCATTAAGACATATGAAGTCTTTTGAATAGTAATGATGTATTAGGGTATGCCAATGATAGTTAATCAATGATTTTTATTTGGACCTAATCAATATCATTTTCCAAGCTGTTTAAGTTATTTCAAATATATTTGAAATTCATAATATTTCGCATTAAATCCTGTACATTTTATATGCTCAATTTATTCCATTCCGCACACCCCAATACCCATTCACGTGCATGGGAATATGTGTGTTAGTTAGCACGTAATAGTGTGTCTGATTGTTGCCATTGTTGCCGCAGTATAAATGTTCTATTATTAAGTCTGGAATTTCGTAGCTATTCCATAGAAATAACCAAAATGCCATTCATTCTGTCTGCCGTCACAGCAACAACAACAATGTTGAATCCTCTTTTCGTTTATCCATTCCGGAAGAGGCGCAACACTATGTCTGCGTATTTTTGTGATATTTATCGAATTAAAAGGGTAATAATGGAGGTTATACATAACATACATAAATATTTCAATTATTCTCAAGAATGGTATACCTCATGGTAATACAGTACACACGGATAGAAGAACATGTTCCACCCTTATATGAAAACAGTATATTATATGAAATAAACTCTTATAACCAAAACCCGCTTATAAATTTCTCAATTTTTTCTATATCCGTGGTCTACTGTATTTGGCTTAAACCCCAAAGTGTCCGTTTCAGACAAGTCCATTTTAG